TCTCTCTCTCTCTCTTTCTCTCTCTTTCTCTCTCTCTCTTTCTCTCTCTCTCTTTCTCTCTCTCTCTTTCTCTCTCTCTCTTTCTCTCTCTCTCTTTCTCTCTCTCTCTCTTTCTCTCTCTCTCTTTCTCTTTCTCTCTCTCTCTTTCTCTCTCTCTCTTTCTCTTTCTCTTTCTCTCTCGAGTTTTCATTCCTTAATCGTTTATGATCCTCCATCACATTCTTTCTCCCTTTTTTTCTCTTTACTCTATTTTTTTCTCATAAAGATGTGTTGATGGACAATTTTTTCTGTTGTACGTCGAGAGGATCTTCTTTGTTTACGTTTTTGTGTTTTTGTTGTGAAGCGGGCGAAATGAGGCAGAGGTTTTTTGTTTACACCTGTTTATATTTTGTTTGTTTTAGTTTTTCTTGCGTGTGTGTTTTTTTTATGGAGAATGAAGTCTTTTTTTTTTCTTGAGTGACGCTGATGCATGTGTAGACTATTTTGTATCTCTTTCTGTCTCTCTTTCTCTTTCTTTCTCTCTTTCTTTCTCTCTTTCTCTCCCTCTTTCTTTCTCTCTCTTCTCACTTTTCTCTCTTTTCTCTTTTTTCTCTCTTCTATCTTCTCTCGTCTCTTGTCTCTCTTGTCTCTCCCTCGCATATTTCCCTGTCGGACGAGTATTAGGTACGGGTTGGGGTAATGGTAGTGGGTAGGGGTAGAGGGAGTGGAAGAGGGAGGGGGTGGGTCTTGATGTTACCCAGAGAGTCCGGGTTTTGGGCCGTAGGGGGTGAGGGAGGGAGGGAGGGAGGGAGGGAGGGAGGGAGGGAGGGAGGGAGGGAGGGAGGGAGGGAGGGAGGGAGGGAGGAAGTGATGGATGGAGGGGAAGAGGAGACGAGGGTAGGGGAGGGAATGTGGAAAGGGTGGGGGTGGGGGGGGGCTGAGTCTAATGTTGGGATTACTGACAGTTTAATTTCATGTTGTGATGGCCTGGTGTGGTGGTGTTCAGCGTTAATACGATTTGAATGTGCGAATTAAGGCGGGCGGTTGTGCTAAGTGAATAGGTAATTTTTGGTATGCTGGATTTTGCCCTGTTTATGATTGTGGTTTTGATATATTCATTATAAGCGTAGGGTTTACCTCTCGTCTTGCCGGCGTCTAGGGAAGTGGAGAGGTGGTGAGGGCGAAGAGGGAGGGGGGTGGAGGGAGGGAGGGGGGTGGAGGGAGGGAGGGGAGGGAGAGAGGGAGGGAGGGAAGAGGGAACTGGGTGGATGGAAGAAAAGGGGAGAGGAGGTGAGGGAAGAGGGAAGGGGAGAGGAGGTGAGGGAAGAGGGAAGGGGAGAGGAGGTGAGGGAAGAGGGAAGGGGGAGAGGAGGTGAGGGAAGAGGGAAGGGGAGAGGAGGTGAAGGAAGAGGGAAGGGGAGAGGAGGTGAGAGAAGAGGGAAGGTGAGAGGAGGTGAGGGAAGAGGGAAGGTGAGAGGAGGTGAGGGAAGAAGGAAGGGGAGAGGAGGTGAGGGAAGAGGGAAGGGGAGAGGAGGTGAGGGAAGAGGGAAGGGGAGAGGAGGTGAGGGAAGAGGGAAGGTGAGAGGAGGTGAGGGAAGAGGGAAGAGGGAAGAGGGAAGGGGAGAGGTGGAGCGGAGGGTATAAACCGAATGAGGGAGTAGGGAGGAGGAGGGACGGGGAGAGGGATGGAGAGTTTGAGGGGTGGAGGGGAAAAGGTTGAAAAGCCATCTTGTCAGTCGGCCTAACCTGCTAACCCCGCTAACCTCTCCCCCCCCCCTCCCCCCTTCTCTTCCACCATCGTGACCTTCTCCCCTCCTCCTTACACCCCCCCCCCCCCATTCGAACTATGACTGTTTTATGATAGCATTTTCGACGAGCTGTGTGTTCTCGTGTATCTCTTGTATGTCTCCTTCTCTGTTGCTCTTCTTTTTTCTCTTACTCCTCTCTCCCTTTCTCTTTCCCTTTCCCTTGCTCCATTTCTCTTCCCCTCTCTCTCTCTCTTTCTTCTCTTCCTCTCCCTTCTCCCCCGTCCTCTTCCTTTCTTTTCCTCTTCTTTCCCCTTCCCCCTCCCTCCCCCTCCCTCTCCCTTCCCCTCCCCTCGCCTCTCCCTTCCCCCCTCCTCTCCCTTCCCTCCCTCGCCTCTCCCTTCCCCCTCCCCTTCTCTCCCTTCCCCTTCCCCTCCTCCCTTCTCTCCTTCCCTTCTCCCTCCCCTTCCCCTTCTCCCTCCCCTTCCCCTTCTCCCTCCCCTTCCCCCTTCCCCTCCCCCCTCCTTTGTGTGTGTGTCTGATTTCTCGTCTTATGAATTATTACTATTTGTTCGACTCACTCGACGCTTAGTCTTTGGCCGCCGGGTTAAGCGATTAAAGGAAAGGGGGGGGGGAGACTGGGGTAGAGAGTAACTAAGGGGGGTGGAAGGGGGAGGGTAGGGGTAGGAGTAGGAGATGGGAGTGGAGAGAGGGAGGGAGGGAGAGGGAGAGGGGGGGAGGGCAGGAGAAAGGTTAGGTAGGCCTACAATGGCTCGTAAGCCTATAAAGCAGGGGATTCCGTCTGTCTGCTCAGTTGATGGATATTTGATACTGCGGGTCATTTTTGTCGTGGGAGGTGGGCTGGGTGGATTGAAGGTGGGCGGGGTGGGCTGGCGGGCGGGTGGGTGAGTGGGCGTAGGTTGAGGGAAGGAGAGCGGTGGATTGTAGCGGTAGAAGGCTTTAGGCGTGGGTGGGTGGGTGGGTAGGTAGGCGAGTGGGCTTAGGGCGAATATAAGATGGGTAAGTAGAAGGGGTAGGCTGGTGGGTGGGCAAAGGTGGGTCAAGGGAAGAGTGGGTAGATACGGTGAAGTAGATTTACCGGGCGAAGGTGGGTGGGATGAAAGTAGATATGGGTAGACTAGAGTATGTTGTCGTGGGAAAAGGTTGTTCGAGAGAATTCAATCCATTTAAATAAAAATACCTCCATGTGCATAGTAAATTAAGTTCATGCCGTGTTCAGTGTAATAATAGTGTTTAAATGTCCTAGGAGTGAAGCGAGTAGGAAAGAAAAGTTAATGGGTCTATCTATCTACTACTGGGATGGCACATCTACTAATGTTGGATGGGTGAACTGACAGGTCCTACTTTTACGTGGCCGAAAAGGGAGTAATTGAATGCCATGGGTTCTTTTTTCTTCGTTTATCCATGTAATAAACCGATTATTGGAGCCGATAAAGGTGATCATTGTGCCGATTATTGGAGCCGATTAAGGTGATCATTGTTTCTTTCTTAATGCTAAAGTCGCCCTTGTGTTTTGAAGTTTTACTCGTACACACCTGATTAAACAGACGGACTCGATGCGAGGAGCTAGAATCCTCCGTCCCCCCACCCCACCCTGCACCTCTACCCCCTCCCCTCCCCCTCCCCCTCCCCCTCCCCCTGTACACAGACACCACCCCCTCCCCTACCCTCCGGACTTCCGGCGTATGCAAATGAATGTGTGTCTGTCTGTATGTATGTATGTATGTATGTATAAGTATGATGAATGTGTGTGTGTATGCATGTATGTATGTATATGTATATTTATATGTATGCATGTATGTATGTATGTATATCCGTGTAAGAAAAAAGAAAGGGATGAAAAGTGCGTCTGCGGCTGGAAGACGGAGAGCAAACTCTGACCGGGAAATCTCTTGTGTCGACGCCATGTTTACCAGCTTGTCTCCACGGCGTTGGGCTTGGCAAAGGGAGGGGTTATGGTAGGCTGAGAGTGGGGGTGTTGCGAGAGAAAGGGGGAAAGGAGAGACAGATGGAGGGAGAGGAAGAGAGGGAGAGGGAAGGAGAGAGGGAGAGACGGGGAGGAAGAGAGGGAGAGACGGGGAGGAAGAGAGGGAGAGACGGGGAGGAAGAGAGGGAGAGACGGGGAGGAAGAGAGGGAGAGACGGGGAGGAAGAGAGGGAGAGGGAGAGACGGGAAGGGAGAGGGAGAGAGTGATTATTATTATAAGGATGATAGTTCATTTTCTTGAAGGTCTGAAAGCGTGCTTATAAGATAGAGGTTTGCGAACGTTTATAATTATAGGCTAGATTTCGATTGCTGTTACCTCACCTGTGCAAAGTCTTATCCAGGTGTTATAGCTTAATCGTACTAATCAACGTAACTCCCCCCCCCCTTCCCTCCCTCCCCACTCCGGGTCCTCCGGCGAATGCGAAGTAATGAGCATGAGTCGTAAAATTATCTTGTTTCTTTCCTTCCTCGGAACTGTAATTAAGGTCGAATATTATCGTTCTTTTCTCATTTCTCCGTTCTTTCGTTCTTTCTCGTGTGATGATTTTTTTTTATCATTTTGTGCGTTTTCTTTTCTCGCCTTCGTGCTGGTTTTGTTTGTGTTTGTTTCCGGCAATTGTGGTGTGTGTGTGTATATGGTCATTTCTTTTGTGGTGCTTCTCCATTGCTTTCACGGGTTGTCTTTTCTTCCTCTTCTTCCTACTTTTTCTCTTATTATTATTCCTCCTTTTCCCCCTTCCTTTTCTCTTTCTTTTTACTCTTCTTCTCCTCCATCCTTAAATTTTCTTCTCCTCCTCCTCTACTTCCTCCTCTTTCTCCTCTTCCTCCCCAGCCTTCCCATCCTTCTCCTTTCTTCTTCTCCTCCTCCTCCTCCTGTTTATCTTCCCCGTCTTTCCCTCCTCCTTGCCTCCCATTTCCCTCTCCAGCTTTAAGGCCAAGTACCCGGTGATATAGTAAAGATCAGAGGCCATAAAGTCGGTAATATGAAGCAAGGATAAATATTAAACTTGAATATTTATGTTGGTACTTTAATGAGAACTTACTGTTACTGTACATGGAGATACTGCAGCTTAGGTGAACCATAAATTTGCAGTTATTGCGTGCTTCTGCTTCTGCATATACGTGTTTGTGTGTCTGTCTGTCTACATATATTGTACATGCATATAGTTTATTGAATATTGTAACTTATTTTTAAAAACTGCACGTAGATTTTGATGAAAGTGGAGGGAATGAAAATGCAGGCGCGCGCGCGCGCACACACACACAGAGCTACCAGCGATCTTGCAATTTGCCTGATGGAGTGCAGCGTAGGCGGCCTGGGAGGATTTTCAGTGCAGTGTTTCATGCTTCACATTCAGAACCTTTATTCTATCTATTTTAGTTTTGTTTTACATTGCTAGCATTTATTTTTAGTAAAATGGGAGGCGGGTGTATTATTGAAGTAGGATAAATTTTGGTGATGCTGTTAGAAAGAGATTAAAATGCGTCTTCGTCTTCATTTGGGATCGGAGAGGAGAGAAGGCAGGGATCTGGAGAAAGCGAGAGGAAGGGAATAGCTAGAGTAAAGATGGGAAAGATGTGGGAGAAAAGGGTGGAAAGGGAATAGGAAGAGAGAGAGAAAAGGACGAATCAAAGCCATGTCATTGATAAGGTTTAATCTCTCCCCCCCACCTCCTCCCTTATTTTAGGCTATCTAAACGGTTTTTATCTTGTGGACAAAATAGAAATACAGGATAGTACAAAAATGAAATTCAAACGCGAAAATACAAATGCAGAAAGAGAAATACAAAATAGAAATACAGGATAGTACAAAAATGAAATTCAAACGCGAAAATACAAATGCAGAAAGAGAAATACAAAATAGAAATACAGGATAGTACAAAAATGAAATTCAAACGCGAAAGAGACAAATACACACGCACAAAACAAGAAAACAAAAGATAAACACTAAGATAAAAATCCAAAAATAGATATAAAACGAACAATACAAAGACAAATATAATTACATAAATAAATTCGAACGCTTTGCACGGAAACAGAACGAAAATTATTACGAAAGGGAACTGTAAATCGTAATATTACGAATCGGACGCGACCCCCCCCCCCTAACTCACACACACTCTCTCTCTCTCTCTCTCTCTCTCTCTCTCTCTCTCTCTCTCTCTCTCTCTCTCTCTCTCTCTCTCTCTCTCTCTCTCTCTCTCTCTCTCTCTCTCTCTCTCAAGCGCTCTTGAAGTCTCTCATTGTCCCCGGGTTTGATTGGAGATTAGCTCGTAATTTATTCATCCCGAATCGTTAACTCGAAGAGAGAGCTTAAATTGGATTATCATTAAAACCCGTGATCTCGATTCTTCTTCCACTCGTCGTCTACCGGTAATCCACTCGTAATCTACTCGTCGTCTACCGGTAATCCACTCGTAATCTACTCGTCGTCTACCGGTAATCCACTCGTAATCCACTCGTCGTCTACCGGTAATCCACTCGTAATCTACTCGTCGTCTACCGGTAATCCACTCGTAATCCACTCGTCGTCTACCGGTAATCCACTCGTAATCTACTCGTCGTCTACCGGTAATCCACTCGTAATCTACTCGTCGTCTACCGGTAATCCACTCGTAATCTACTCGTCGTCTACCGGTAATCCACTCGTAATCTACTCGTCGTCTACCGGTAATCCACTCGTAATCTACTCGTCGTCTACCGGTAATCCACTCGTAATCTACTCGTCATCTACCGGTAATCCACTCGTAATCTACTCGTCGTCTACCGGTAATCCACTCGTAATCTACTCGTCGTCTACCGGTAATCCACTCGTAATCTACTCGTCGTCTACCGGTAATCCACTCGTAATCTACTCGTCGTCTACCGGTAATCCACTCGTAATCTACTCGTCGTCTACCGGTAATCCACTCGTAATCTACTCGTCGTCTACCGGTAATCCACTCGTAATCTACTCGTCGTCTACCGGTAATCCACTCGTAATCTACTCGTCGTCTACCGGTAATCCACTCGTAATCTACTCGTCGTCTACCGGTAATCCACTCGTAATCTACTCGTCGTCTACCGGTAATCCACTCGTAATCTACTCGTCGTCTACCGGTAATCCACTCGTAATCTACTCGTCGTCTACCGGTAATCCACTCGTAATCTACTCGTCGTCTACCGGTAATCCACTCGTAATCTACTCGTCGTCTACCGGTAATCCACTCGTAATCTACTCGTCGTCTGCTCGTTTCCTTCGGCAGCGAGGGAGAGAAGCGCCTGGACGAAAGCCTTGATGAGGTGTCTTTGTTCTGGGGCTTTTTTCGTGGGTGGTGGGGGTGGGTGGGGTGTGGGAGGGGGAGGTGGGAGGTGGGGGTATGGAGAGAGGGGTTGGGGAGAGAGGGGTTGGGGAGAGATGAGGAAGAGAGGTTGGGGAGAGATGGGGGAAGAGGGGTTGGGGGAGAGATGGGGAAGAGGGGTTGGGGAGAGATGGGGGAGAGATGGGGAAGAGGGGAATTGGAGGGGGAGGAGCAGGGAGTTAGAGGAGGAGGAGGAGGGGGAGAAAGGGGAAAGAGGAGGGAGTTGGAGGTAAGAGAAGGGTGATGTGAGATGAAGAGATGGAAAGGGAGAGTGAGAGGGGAGATGAGGCAGAAAGAGAAGAGGAAGAGAAGGGGGGAAAGTTGGAAGAAGGGTAGAGAGAAGAGGAAGAGAAAAGAGCAGGTTAGGGCGAGAGGAAGAGAGGCAGGCACGGAGAATGGCGCAAAAGGAAGCGGGAAAGTTTGTACAGGAAGATGCTGTCATGTGCAATACTCGCTTTTCTCTCTGTTAGTCTTCCAAGCCGTAATTACCGGTTCGCTTCTATACGAGAGCGTTACTTCTCGTTCACATCGGATGTATATATCTCGGCTGCCTAGCATGCCTCGTCTATTCCCGTAAATCGGACATTCTTTGGATATACTACGCTTTAGTATATCTCGTCTGGTCGTGACTCGTATACGTAAGCGATGTTCTATTCTGAAGGATGTTGTTATTCTTGTTGCGTGGTGCTCGAGATGGAATGAGATGGAAAGAACCTTCCCCCCCCCCCACCCCTCCGAGCGCCCAGGGTACAACCACCTGACCCGGCGGTGGGGGCGGCCCCGCACGGGCGTGACTGGTGCCCAATAAAGTTGTTTACATCGGCGGGGCAAACATCCGCTCTCTGTCACGCTCGCTCGCCCCCCCCTTCTCTCTCTCTCTCTCTCTCTCTCTCTCTCTCTCTCTCTCTCTCTCTCTCTCTCTCTCTCTCTCTCTCTCTCTCTCTCTCTCTCTCTCTCTCACTCACTCACTCACTCACTCACTCACTTGTCAGAGTCAAAAAGTCGTTTTCTTTCGCCTCTTCTTTTCTCTTTCTCTCCCGCCTTTCCTCCTCTCCCTCTTCCTCCTCTCCCTCTTCCTCCCTCCCTCTCTCCCTCCCTCTCTCCCTCCCTCTCTCCCTCCCTCTCTCCCTCTCTTCCATCCTCCTCTATCCGTGCTTGAGATATGCAATTATATTTTTTGTATTTCCTTATTTGTTCAGTTTTTATTTCAGGAGTTTATTTGTCTATTTGCTTGTGTTTGTTCATTATTTTTTCTCATTTGCACATTTCGTATTTGATCAATTACGTCCATTGATTGTTATTTGCATTTGTTTTGCATGTTTTCAAGTATCATCAATTATTTTTCTTATTTGTTTCCGTCTTCGTATTGCTTTTATTCCTTCGTGTATCCCTTCCTCCTCTTGAGGTGTAGCACTTTCATCCTTCCGATTTTTTTTTTTATTGACCCTCGAATTTTGCTCTGTTGCACGGCCTAATCCTTTGCAATATTGGGGTCGGGTGGTATTGCATTGCGAAAAGTCGCCAGGAGGAGGAGGAGGAGGAGGAGGAGGAGGAGGAGGAGGAGGAGAAGAAGAAGAAGAAGAAGAAGAAGAAGAAGAAGAAGAAGAAGAAGAAGAAGAAGAAGAAGAAGAAGAAGAAGAAGAAGAAGAAGAAGAAGAAGAAGAAGAAGAAGAAAGTGATGAAGAGATGGAGATGGAGAGGGGAGGAGGAGGAGGAGGGGATGGGGAGGAGGATGGGGATGAGGATGGGGATGGGGATGAGGATGAGGATGAGGATGAGTAGGAGGAGAAATGAGTGAGCTTGAGTCAGTGAGTCAGTGAGAAATTAGAGGAAAGAGACACAGGAGTTCAAGAGCCCGAGTAAGAACGAAGGAAAATCATTGTATGGGAGACAGAGAGAGATTTTAGAGAGTAGGTTCGTCGACAGAGGGATGAGCCGGGTGGTCGTGTGGGCGTGGCGACAGAGAGAGAGAGAGAAAGAGCCAGGTGAGAGAGAGCTAAAGAGAGGGAGAGGGGGAGGGGGGGGAGGAGGAGGAGGAGAAGGAGAAGGAGAGGGGGGGTTGGAGGAGGAGGAGGAGGAGAGGGGCGTTGGAGGAGGAGGAGGAGAAAGAGAAAGAGAAAGAGAAAGAGAAAGAGAGGAACGCACGTCGAAGCCACTTTCAGGAAGAGTCGTTTGGGGAATCGCCTTCCCACGGTCGGGACTTGACGGATTTCAAGGTTATTTGCAATAGTATTTGCTCGTTTCTCTGCTCCTCCCGACGGACGGACTGACTGGTTCGCCCCTTGTGCATTTTAGTTTTTTTGTTTAAGGCATATTTGTCGATGCCGTTTTTCTTCTTTTGCCCTTCTTTTTCTTTCTTTCTTTCTTTCTTTTCTTTATCGTCATTGTCATCATCTCCTCCTCCCTCCTCCTCCTTCTTCTTCTCCTCCTTCTTCTTCTCCTCCTTCTTCTTCTCCTCCTCCTCCTCCTCCTCCCTCCTCCCTCCTCCCTCCTCCCCCCTCCCCCCCTCCTCCCTCCTCCTCTCTCTCCTCCTCCCTCCTCCTCCCTCCGTCTTCCTCCTCCCCCTTCCTCCTCCTCCTCCTCCTCCTCCTCCTCCTCCTCCTCCTCCTCCTCCTCCCTCGCCTTCCTCCTCCATCCTCCATCCTCCATCCTAACCCCCTCCCCCTGTACTGTTCCTTCTATTTGGAGGTCGAGGCATGGGTGAGAAAGTTCTGTATAACAACCCCAAGTTTAGGACTTTTATTATTACAAACCTACTCCCTTGGAACTCCCCCTCCCCCCCCCCCCTTGGTGTGCCTCCATATTTTTTTGTTTCTTTTTCACATTGCCTCCCACACGTGTTCATTCCTCTTGGCCTTTCTTTCGCTCTCTCTCTCTCTCTCCCTCCCTCTCCCCCCCCCCCCTCTCTCTCTCCTCTCTTTTTCCTCTCTCCTCTTTCTCCTCTCTTTTTCCTCTCTCCTCTTTCTCCTCTCTTTTTCCTCTCTTTCCCCATTTTCCTCTCTCCTCTCTCCCTCCTCCCCCCCCTCTCTCTCTATCTCTCTCTATCTCTCTCTATCTCTCTCTATCTCTCTCTATCTCTCTCTATCTCTCTCTATCTCTCTCTCTCTCCCTCTCTCTCCCTCTCTCTCTCTCTCTCTCTCTCTCTCTCTCTCTCTCTCTCTCTCTCTCTCTCTCCTCTCTCTCTCTCTCTCTCTCTCTCTCCCTCTCTCTCTCTCCATGTCACCGTGGAAATGAGAGCGGGCGAGAGGCGACCGACGCTGGCGATGAAACTTGCACAGGTTGTCTAAACAGGTTATGTAAAAACTGTCAATTGGTTGGCGGCGGTGGTTGTTGTCTACGGGAGCCGCCGAGAGCTACAATAGGTGGGTGGCGGCTCCATCTCCTCCCCCTTCTTCTTCTTCCTCCTCCTCTTCATCTTCCTCCGCTTCCTCATCTTCCTCCTCCTCCTCTTCCTCCTCCTCCTTCCTCCTTCTCCTCCTCCTCCTCTTCCTCCTCCTCCTCCTCCTCCTCCTCCTCCTCCTCCTCCTCCTTCTCCTCCATCTTATCATCCTCCTCCCTCTCCCTCCTCCTCCCTCATCTTCCTCCTCCTTCTTATCATTATCTTTGTGCTTTCTACTTCCTACTCTGCCGCCCCTTCCCCCCCTTCCCTCCCCTTCCCTCTCACTCCCTCTCCTGCACCCCGGTCCCCCTTCTGCCCCCCCTCCCCTCTCCATCTCCCTCCCCCTCTCCACCACTCCCTCCCTCCCTCCCTCCCTTTCATCTGCATGCAAAGCCACATTCCTCCGTATTCATGGACCGCCTTCTCCACCTGCATGCCAGGGGAATTCATCCACATAGGCGGAATCTGCTGTTTGTCTGCCGTTAGGTGGGAGTTTATGGCTGAGTGTGGGGGAGGCAGGGGAGAAGGGAGGAGGGAGGGAGGGAGGGAAGAGGAAAAGTAGAAGGAGAGGGAGAGGGAGAGGGAGAGGGAGAGGGGGTTGGGGTAGGTTGAGTGTGGGCTGGGAGTTTATGGGGAGAGGAAGAGCGAGGGGTTGGAATTGTGATTGAAGGTGTGTGACGGGCATTATGGTTGTATGGGGTTAGGGGTAAAGAGAGAGGGAGAGAGAGGGAGAGAGAGGGAGAGAGAGGGAGAGAGAGGGAGAGTTCGCTGGGAGGGCTGGGAAGTCCTCTCCATATAAGCGGCTCCGGACACCCCTATTATCCTTTCTCAGAATTGTAGATTGTCGCCGAGGAAGGAGGCCGCAGGATCCAGGGGGGTCGGGGAAAAGGTGGTCGTTAGACACCATACAAGGAGGGAAATAGGCGCATGTTGACTGGCTGAGAGACAGGCTGACAGACGCGCGCGCGCACACCCACACACAGACAGAGACAGAGACAGACAGAGACAGAGACAGAGACAGAGAGCCCCTCCCTTTCTTCCTTTCGTCATCCACGGTCACTTGATCCGTCTTTACGTCTGTTTGGGTGCTTTCTGTCAGTGCGTGTCTGTCTGTCTGTCTGTCTGTCTGTCTCTTTCTGTCTCTTTCTTTCTCTCTCTCCCTCTCTCTTTCTTTCTCTCTCTCCCTCTCTCTTTCTTTCTCTCTCTCCCTCTCTCTCTCTTTCTCTCTCTCCCTCTCTCTTTCTTTCTCTCTCTCCCTCTCTCTTTCTTTCTCTCTCTCCCTCTCTCTTTCTTTCTCTCTCTCCCTCTCTCTTTCTTTCTCTCTCTCCCTCTCTCTTTCTTTCTCTCTCTCCCTCTCTCTTTCTTTCTCTCTCTCCCTCTCTCTTTCTTTCTCTCTCTCCCTCTCTCTTTCTTTCTCTCTCCCTCTCTCTTTCTTTCTCTCTCCCTCTCTCTTTCTTTCTCTCTCCCTCTCTCTTTCTTTCTCTCTCCCTCTCTCTTTCTTTCTCTCTCCCTCCCTTTCTTTCTCTCTCCCTCCCTCTCTT